GCGAAAAACCATCGAATGAAACTTTGAGCGGTTTTTAGAATCGTTGAACAAAACCAAATCAAGTCTTGCTTTAATCAAATCGTAATGATATTTTACATAAAGAAAATCAAAATTTTAATGAAATATTTTGTATCCAAAATTTAATCGCAAATAAATTTGGTTCCAGTTTTCAATCTTTTGATATATATAGAGGTCCGATTCTGTAGGTGGGCAACAAGTGCTTATGCACAAAGTCCCACTGATTTTGTTTAAATTTTGTTTGCAAAAATGCCCAAATATTCATTATATTTCTGTAAATAGGACCTTTTATTCTAAACTGTTTTTAAAAGGGTCCTAAAATTTAAAAATGTAACATGTAGATACTAAATTTATTTTTGGCACAAGATCCTTAGGCCATCTTTATCCATGAACTTTTGAAGGTATCATTAAATATAAAATTATTAAAAACACATTCTCTCTTCCTTTTACTTAACTTTATACCTTCTCTTTCATCCTTTTACTCAATTTTTATTAATTTTATACTCTTTTTAAATATAAAATTATTAAAAACACACTCTTTCTCTCTTCAAAAGTATCAACTATTTGATACTTTTGATACTCTCTCTCTCAAAAAATACCCACTATCTCTTCTCTTTACTCAAATTTATTAATTTTATATTTCAATACACCCCATTATTTCAACCAAAAACACTCTCTTTCTTCCTTTTACTCAAATTTTAATAATTTTATATTTAATGATACCCACTAAAATTCACCAATAAGGATGCTCTTATATCTAATGGACCGGGCCTGCATATATAATATATTCCCCACAACAACAACAAAACTGAAAGTTAAACCAATTTTGAAATATTTGTTATATATAAAAAAATAATTTAACCGTGAAAATATAAATTTAACCCAATTTTTTTAAGTACCGCAAAACTATTAAATTTGTTGTATTTTAATAATATTTTAAAACCACCAATCACGTTTATTATATTACTTTAATATGTAATATACTGAGTTTTCCAATAACATTTGCACATACAAAAGTACAAAAAAAGGATTAATCATGTAAAACATCCATGTTTCTCTATCAACCGGTAAAAACAAAATATTTTCACAATTTCAAATCAATCTTGAAATTTTCATTTATTTATTTTTCTCTTTTAAAATCATATATTTTCCTTTTGACCGCTAGTTTTCACTATCGTCTAAAACTATATAGTTACCCGCGTTATACGCGGGATAATTTGATACGCAAGTTATTGGAAAAATTATTATCAAGAATCTAAAACTCGTTTATATATATGGTTTTTGCAATTATTTTGTATAAAAATGTATCCCACCGGTGAAATAATTGAAAACAACAAATTTTTAGTTCTTGGTCAATATATATCACTTATTAATAAAATGTATTTATTTAATATCATAATTTTTAAAAATACGGTTTATGACTCAAATATACAAAATAGAAGATTGCAAATATGAATTGAATTTTATAGATTTAAGGTAATTATAAGAGTAAGTGAATATATATAGTAAACGTTTTTTTATTTTTTGTTTTTAAAAAACAAATCAAAAAATTATTTTCTTTGGTTGGAAGGATTATGTGATTGTTTGGATAATAGGATAATAGGGAATTAATAGGATTGTGGAGTGTTTGGGTAATAGTATAGTAGAGAATTAATAATATAAACCTCGTTTGAATCGCCAGTCTGAACTTGAAAGAGAATGAAAACCTGCTGTGAACCTTGAAGATCCAGAGACAATGGATGAATCGATGGCTTCACCAAAGGATGCAGATATCCTTTGATAAACCACTCAATCTTTTTGGATATGACACACCAACATATCTAACTTAAAAAGTTTTTGAATGAAAAGATAGATAACTTTTACAGAAATGGTTCAAAAGAAATATAAAGAACTAACTCTTCATGCATGGTCTAGAAACACACAAAAACAATAATCAAAACAGTTGGGACGCCACTTTGATGTTTCTTCTTGTTTTGGCCGAAAATTATAGTGGGTT